TTTTTTTTTTTTTTTTTAATATTTTTAATTCTTTTTAAACAATTTTTTTTAACTCTTTTATTTATTTTTTTATTTCTTTATTTCATTGTATCCCACTGATTAATCTTGCCCTGATCATGGCCTTAAAAAATATTCTTCGCGGGCCGGGCGTGGTGGCTCATGCCTGTCGTCCCAGCACTCTGGGAGGCCGAGGAGGGAGGATTGCTCGAGGTCAGGAGTTGGAGGCCAGCCTGAGCAAGAGCCAGACCCCGTCTCTACTATAAATAGAAATAAATTGATTGGCCAACTAACATATATATACACGAAAAAACGAGCCGGGCGTGGAGGCGCATGCCTGTCGTCCCAGCTGCTCGGGAGGGAGGCTGAGGTGGGAGGCTCGCTCGAGCCCAGGAGTTGGAGGCTGTTGTGATCGAGGCTGATGCCACGGCACTCACTCCAGCCTGGGCAAGGCTCTGTCTCCAAATAAAAAAAAGGAGGCTGTGTCTCCAAAACAAGAAAGGAGGCTCTGTCTCCAAAAAAAAGAGGCTGTGTCTCCAAATGAAAAAAAAGGAGGCTCTGTCTCCTAAAAAAAAAGGAGGCTCTGTTTCCAAAAAGAAGGAGGCTGTCTCCAAACAAAAAAGAGGCTCTGCCTCCAAAACAAAAAAACGAGGCTCTGTCTCCAAAACAGCAAAGCAAAGGCGAGTCCCTGTTGGGAAGTTGGGGGATAGCTAGTTTCGCTGCCGGTGGAGGCCGGCGTGGCGGCGTGTGTGTTTTGGAGGCCGCGGGCCTCGTGACGTGTCCCCGTGTCCCCTTTTGTCTCCCCGAGGCCAACACGGGACAGATCGACGACCCCCGGGAGCAGCTCAAGGTCATCAGCAGCAACCTGGCCCTCATTCAGGTGAGCCTCCTCCCCGGGCCTCCGTGGAGCGGTGGGAAGGGTGGAGGCCGGGCCTCGCAGGGTGGGAAGGGTGGAGGCCAGAGACCGCGTTCTGGACTCCATGTGGAGGACAGCCTCCACCGGTTGGCCTCCACCACACCCCGCTCCTGGGGCCCCGGGTTCCCTCCTGCTGTCCCTGGTCCCTTCTTGACAAGCCGGGTGTCGGGTTTTTCTGTTGTTTTTTGGGGACAGAGTCTCGCTCTGTCGCCCGGGCTGGGGTGAGTGCCGTGGTGTCAGCCTCGCTCACAGCGGCCTCCAACTCCTGACCTCAAGCGATCCTCCTGCCTCAGCCTCCCTCTGAGTAGCTGGGACGACAGGCATGCGCCTCCACGCCCCGCTCGTTTTTTCTATATATTTTTATTTGGCTGGTTAATTTTTTTCTATTTTTTTTTTTTTTTTTTAGTAGAGACGGGGTTTCGCT